TACTCAAATGAAAATGCAATTAACAAGCACGTTAATATAGACGAAATATACCAACTAATGAAAAGTAAATCAGGTGACGAGAAAGTTTAAAATCCAAGTCAATAGAAAATGGTCAATACATATGTAAAGATGGTTACCAGGAGACGCAATTATATCACTCATGAAGAAATTTAAATCATTTCACTTTATGTTAAATATTGCGCTGAAGGGGGATGTTGTCCAGAAGGGTGACGAAAGCTCCGCAACTAAACCAACCAGCTCAGAGAACACTATTAATTGCAGACTATAGGATAATCATGTTCTGTAGAAGGTTGTAGATTGCTCGAGCTAATGCTTAATTCGCATACTTTATCAATCAGTTAGTTATTTGAATATCCTTATTGTTTTTTCTATTCAGAACAAGAATGGTTAGAATGAATAATAATTGTTTTCAGTGAATTCTACTTCCTGTTCAGACTCTCTACAATTATAAATTCATTGTTTTAGCATACAATGATGGCCAGTGTAGAGGCGAATTAGGAGTATGTAGAAGGAAGTGTATTGTGTAAAAAGTATACGATGGAGTAATAGTCAGTCAGTTTTGATCATCGTTTAAGATATATATATATATATATGTGAAAAATGTGGGCACTGTGGTATTATATAATCCCATATTAGTTTGTTTGGTTACAGAATTTCATCATGAGCTGACATCAGTTTGAGAACCGTTGGGAAACCTGCACGGAGTACTAGACAGCTGTTTCGTCACACTAGTTTGGGACTCATCATCAGTACGCACCCACCACTAGGGTTCGAACCCAGCACCTTCTGGTTACAAGGCTGGTGAGCTCGTGGACCATTAAGCCACTGGGACCCGATCCGGTGGCCAACGCATCAATTCCAACTTCTGCCAGTTTGTTGATTAGATACATCACACACACAGTGAAACAGTATTACTTAATGGGACGACGTTTCTAACTCGCTTTATTATTATTTATACTATTATTCATATTCATCATCAACTAAAACTACACAACTTCGAAACTTCGCCAGTATTTAAATTCCAAAGGAAAATATACCAATGTAAATGAACGTGAACATTGAACGTTGGTTCATTGGCCTTGGTCGTCATTGGCGGGCAACTCGAAGGCGCGAATGATTCAATCGTGTACAAGTTGGAAGAAGATGAAAGAATACGAATTATTATTATTGTTTCCTTTAATTCCTAGAGGAACATAGGGCTTCAGCCGTGCGTCTCCATTGCGTTCGGTTCTCTGCTACAGTCTTCACCTGGCTCCAAGTCTGCCCACACGCTTTCATCTCCTCTTCACATCACCTCCTCCAAGTCACCCTCACCCTTGCACTGACGACCAACTCGCCGCTTCCCTTTCAGGTTCCACTCGAGCAATGGCTTGTCTAGTGATGTCACTTGATGCATTGTTTCCTCAGAGTATGGCCAGCCAATCCATCTGCATTTCTTCCTGCCTATTTGTTTCACAATCGGTTCCTGCTCGGTTGGCTGGTTCGCTCATTGCCAGAGATCCCTCTCTGTTGCTGATCTTTTCTGGCCGGCTGGCCATCTGATCTTGAGTATTGAGCGAAGACAACTGTTAATGAAGGTCTGTAGTTTGTTTGAGATGCTCTTTATGACGCGCAGTGCAAGTCTCTGATCCGTATAGTGAGTAGCATGACTGACTTCACATTGGAGTTGAAAATCCGGATGATCTTTTTGATGCTGAGTGCTGTTGACCTCCACACAGACTTGAGAGTAGTGAAAGCTTGTCTTGCTTTTCCGATTCTTGCTTTGATATCCTCGTCAGTTCCGTCCGCCTGTAGTTGAAACGATGCTTCCCAGGTAGGTAGGTGGGTAAAGGAGGTTGTTTCTTTCAGGTTCCTTCCATTTATGCTGATTGTTGTCTGTTGTTGTTGTTGCCCAGGAATCTTCATCACCTCTGTTTTCTCTAAGAATACGAATAAAAACTCTGTGTGAAATATCGAATTTAACTGCAGAAGAATACAAGTTTTTATTGGTCCTTGTGTTTTGGAGTTAAAGTCGATAATCGTAACTAGTAATTATCGATTCGGAGCGTCTTCGCAAATAATAGGAACTTAGGGTTAAGTACCTTGACAACCAACAAACTGAGAGAGTCGCCATAGTGTCACCAATATCCCACATAGCAGCAGATGTATTCATGCATAGATGGAAAAACATAGCGATTGCAACGCTTGGCTCCACCCCTAACATATGTTGGAGGTATTTAGATGACACATTCACAGTACTAAAAATACAAGATGTGAATAAATTTTTCGAACACATCAATTCGAAGGTAGAGGCAATTCAATTCATTTATGAATTGGAAAGTCAGGAAGGGGGCTTCCAGTGTTAGACTGTAGCGTAAAAAGGAAAGAAAATGGGAAGTTAAACAGTAAGTAGTACTTACGGAAGACTCACACATTCATACCGATATTTAGATTTAGGATCTTCCTGCCCTATGTCAGTAAAAATAGAATTGGTGAAATGTATAGGGCACAAAAACCAAGTAGTACCAAGGAAAATCTAAGACAGGAAGTGAGGTATATCAGAGAAGCCTTGCAACTTAATAGTTACCCTGATAAATTAACCAGGAATTATGCAAGGAAATGTAAAAATAAAATAAGTAATAATAGTAGTGATAGTGGTAATAGAAATAATAATATTATTAATGACGGCATGCATGTCAAACATGCACAGGATAATGACAACACCAACAATAGGGAGTCTAAATCATCGGTAGTACTTCCATACAAAGAAGGAACCTCGGAAACCCTAAGGAGAATTCCCATTAAAATGCAGGAGTAAAAGTGGCATTCAAACCAACAAACTCAATTAAAACAAGCTTTGCAGGTTAAAGCAGCCAATTAAACGAAACAATTTAGTTTATCTAATATCCTGCCTGCAATGACTGTCAGGTCAAATACATAGGTCAGAGTAGTAGAACAGATGCAGTCAGATTAGCGGAGCAAAAATACCTCGCAAAACCTAGAGAACATTCCCTACATCTAAACTGGTACTCAGTTTCTCAACTAAACAAGTCAGTACTTACACAGTGAGTCAAGGACGATTTAATGGATGATGGCGTCATCAGTGTACATCTATGAGCTCAACTTCTCCTGAATAGCCAGTTCCATAGGCCATACTCAGAGGCCCTTAGTCATGTGCGTAAGTGAACATATATACCTGTACGGTTGAGTAAATACAGAATCGTATGCATAAGTAGTACGGTCTTGTTCTGAGTTATTTTATTCCACTGCATTCTGAGTGGAACATACGACTTCAAGCTTTGAGCTTTAAGTTTCAATAGCAGTGGTGTTTATTTTTCACGGATTGACGTCGCTAGGCTGACGTACAACCTTCCCTCTTTACCGAGCTTACTACTGGCTAAGTGAGGTTAGGGCGTGAGTTGCCCAGGGGTCAAACCCCAGACCGCATGTATAGTCTATGAACATTCTACCCCTGAACCAACGACGTTTGTTCTGAGCAGTTAGTTATTTTTGATGACATCCAGTTGACAGTGGAGAGCAGTAGAAATAAGGATACGGATTTCGTCTCATTTCGAACTCATCACCGGATATGCTCGTATCCCGAGTGAGAGGTAGTATTCCTATTGAGGTCCGAACCAAATACTCATCGTTTCAAACGTCACTGGGCTACGAGTACCACTCCTCGTGCAATCAATATCAGTTATTACTTGTTGACAGTACTTTTCATGTATCCCATTGATTGATTTTTATGAACCAAAGTGCTCACCTCCTGCTGACATTGTTGGTCCCTATCTCAATAACAGTACTAGTGGTACAGTGTGGAATTTTCAGCACATATCTACAATATTTGCATCTAATTTTATCCAACGTTTAAAAGGAGTATTTTCAAAAAAAATAAATATAAGGACAACAACAGCAAAAAAAAACAGGAAAAACACAAAATAATTAAAAAATGCGAAAAAATACCAAGAAGTAGAAAGAAAATAAACAGCATATATAATATCTCAGTATTGGGTAGTGGAAGCTATGATATGATTATGCATGTTTTTTAACAATGCAGTTGTAGTGGTAGTGTGAGTAATCTGCATAATACAAATTTAAACAACTTAGACGGTATCTAAAGGTTAACATAATATTATTTTCAAGTATTGGTTTGTAGGGATTTGGTTGATTGGTTACAGGATTTCATCATGAGCTGACATTGGTTAGAGAACCATTGGAAAACCTTCAGGGAATACTGGACAGCTGTTTCGTCAGCCTACTTTGGGACTCTTCATCGGTACGCACCCACTGGGGTTCGAGCCCAGCACCTTCTGGTTACTAGGCTGGTGAGCTCGTGGACCATTAAGTCATCGGGACCCGATCCAATGGCTATCCCATGAATTCTGACTTCTGCCAATTCACGATATAGCGCAACCGCTAGTCCAGTACTCCCAGGTTTTCCAATGGTTCTCTAACCAATGTCAGCTCATAATATTATTTACCTATTCAATTGAATTGCTTCATTCACAGTTCACATTCATATTGTATTCACTAAAATTATTCATACGATTTGAACGATAAGGTGAATAGACATACCCTTAGAACACTGAACAAAGTCCATTGATCAGACCATTTTCTAAAAACATCATGTTTATTGATAACTAAACATTCATGAAATAAGAAAAAACTCAAACAAACAAATGAAAGAAACAATAAGAATGCGCCGAATTTAAATTTCAATAACCTCATTCAAACAAACAAAGATTGAAACATTGAACAGGTATCATACTTTTGTTTTGTTACCAAAATTTCCACTTGATTACACACACACTTATCTCAAATTTTTGGATCAAAGTTCATTCAAATTCATAACATCAAAAGGGGATGGACCTTGTTTTTTTAGTGATACTCAATGAAAAATTTCTTTTCATGAATCATACTACTTATTTTCCTTATCAATAGATTCAAAGGTCAATCTTTTTTTTGTGGTATTTTTCAGCTATTTGTTTCGAGAAAAACATTCATATATATATAAACCTCAAAAAATATCATTCTGTTCTCAATTGACAATATCAGTGTTAATTATGCGTGTTGTACTAATACTACTTATATTATTACAAGTAGTCACCGATACTATTGATTCATATAAATTACTAGAAAATTATCAACGTAATCATTTATGGAGTGAATGGAAAGCACATTATGCTAAAGAATATACCACTGTTGGAGAAGAAGAAAGTCGTAAAGCAAAATGGCTTGAAAATATTGAAAAAATTTGGTTGCACAACTTACGTTATGACTTGGGGCTGGAAACATTCACCATGGGAGTGAATCAGTTTTCAGATGTTGACTGGACTGAATATACAGAAAAGTTTACATCATTGAATAAAGAACCAGATTTACTGAAATCTTTGTCATCTTCATCGTCATATATTGAAGAAAATTATGATGTTAATAATGTTGGTTGGACGCCGGATACATATGATTGGCGTAATCTGAATATTGTCAATGAACCAAGAGATGAGGTAAGTTGATGCACCCCCCGAGTGGAATATGGAGCTTTAAGCCTTTAGATTTTGATGTTTCAGTTGCAGCCGCGGTGTACGGTTGCTTGCCTCAAAAACGCTAAACTTTCCCTCTTTCACGAAGCTTAATCTTAGTTCGGTGAGGTTTAGCATGTACATCGACCGGGAATGGAACCAGGGCCAGCCCACATGTGTGGCTGCCGGGCATTCTACCCCAACACCCCTGATTATTATTATTATTGTTCCCTTGGGTTCCTAGTGGAACATAGGGCTTCAACTACACGTCTCCACTTGCTTCTGTCTTCTGCTGTACTTTTCACTTGCATCCATGTTATTCCATACTGTTTCAACTCCTCTTCACACGATCTCCTCCATGTCACCCTTGCACTGACGTCCCACTCGCCACTCGCTTCCCTTTCGAGTTCCACTCGAGCACTGGCCTGACGCGCGATGTCACCCAACGGCCCCCTCAGCGAGTGTCCAATCCATCTCCACTTTCTCCTGCATATTTGTTGCTTGGCGATTGGTTCTTGTTTTGTTTGTTCCCATATGTTTCTTGTTGGTGATTCTTTCCGGCCATCTGATCTTCAGTACAGAGCGAACGAAGACAGTTGTTGATAAAGGTCTGCAACAGACTGTTGGAAATATTCTTTGTGACCCGCCACCAAGTTTCTGATCCATCCGTATTGAAGAACTGACTGACTTGATGTTTGTATTGAAAATCCGAATCACTTTGTTGTTGATGCAGGCTGAGTGACGAATATTTCCAGATTGTTTTGAGGTTGATGAATGTGTTTCTTGCCTTCCCGATTCTCGATCGATTTGACATCCTCGTCCGTTCCTCGTGTAGTTGAGACAATGCTCCCTAGATAAGTGAATGAAGTAACCTCTTTCAAATCCCTCCCATTGATGGTGATTGGCGCTGGATGTTGCTGCTGTTCCAACACCCCTGAATTACAAGTTAATGTTACACTATAGAAAGTAGACTGTGTGCATCTTTCTTGTCATTGGTAGTGATTAAATAATACAAATTAAAGTAATACTGAGACGTAGCAAATTGAATAATGTCAGATTGCAAGGGGGGTGATCCAAAGAAATCCTTGAAATACCTAGATTTTGAGACGTCTGTCAGTTATAGTAATCTAGAAAAAAGCATGACCATTGGAATGCATTCACTTGTATGTAACCCCACAATTATTATTATTATTCCCTTGGGTTTCGACGGCACATCTCAATTCTATCTTTTTCTCTGAAGTCCTTTCTAACTGGCTCCACAATTTCCCAAAAGCTTTAATTCGCTCCTCACACCATCCTTTCCATGTCACCCTTGGACATACACCCAACTTGTCACTTCTCACTTAGGGTTCCACTATAGAGTCTGCCTGGTTCGTGATGTCCTACAGCGCTCTCCTTCGAGTATGCCCGATCCACCTCCAATTTTTGGCATATATTTTGGGCAATTAGTTAGTGGAATACCCTACATACAGGTATATTTATATGTACTTTTGAAATTACATTGGGAGATATAGGACTGATAAGTAAACAAACTACATTGAATTAGTCATGCAGAAAGACAGGTGCGAATGATTTTCAGGTCATGTTCAAAAATAGAACAGGAGAAGGGAGAATGAGAGATTAAAATTAAGACCTAAGTGTATTACGCTTCAATTACATCATTCAGATAAACAATTAGTCATTAGAGAAAGAATATATAAATATATATCAAGAATTGCGAATTGAGTAATATTACTAATAATAGGAATAATAATACTGCTGAAACGAGTTAAGGTAATGGTAACGGTAATAGATAGTTTTAAATGAATCAGAAATAATAATAATAAGAGGTAGAACAAAGTGTTAATAATATTAATAATAATAGTAACAGCTAATAAGTTAAACGTCTTACCAGGGTAGATTCAGAGTGACGATCATTTTCTTTTGTACACAGATACCTGGTTTATAAACTCGAACTGCACAATCCTCTGCAGTTGCAAGCATCTTCCTGTTTCTTTGTCTGCTGACAATAACAGTGAATGACTTGACAGCGTCGATATCATGTCCATAGTCCACAAGATATTTCGTTATTGAGGTTTTTGGCACTTTGCATTCAGCTGTTTTCAACCACTTTGGCAAATGCTGCATCTTGCAAGTAGACAATCTCCTTGCTGTACGACCTATGTATCTGCTTCCAAAAACACACTCAAATTGACATACACAGTTTGAATTGTCGAGGACTGGCGACTGACCTTTCCTAAATTGTTGAAGCACTCGCTTAGAGGTGTTAAGGAAGATGAGCTTTGCAGCATAATAAGTTCTCTTGATGGTTTTATTGAGTCCTCGTTTGACCACCTCTTGTAAATCATCTCCTTTGAATGGCAAACTGATATAGACAGATTTTTTCGGAACTGTTTAGATAGTTTCGCAGGGGCAGATAAAATATCCTTCAGAGCCTTTATTTCATGTTCATTTGTACTGTCAGAATAAATTTTTCGTGATCTATTGAACAGTGTTCTGACTAAGCTCATTTTATACTGGATTGGAACAAAGCTCTTGAATGCATGTACTGTCCTGTCCATGAAGACTTTCTAAATATAGATCTTTCGATTGTGTCACCAGTCCTTTTCACTAGAGAAATGTCAAAGGACTTCGTGGGAAAAAATTTCTTCACTACAACCGTCTTTTTCAAAAATATCAGCAGTGGTCCTCGCATTTGGGTTCACTCAATCAAAGGGAAAAATCAAATTGACTTCAACAAATACAATGTCAATCTGACAATTTAACTCTCCATCCCTCACCCCCCCAGCTGTTAATCCCACTTTTAATTGATTAATTAATCAATCCAATCATTTATTGATTAATTTTAGGGTTCATGTATTGGTTCCTATGCATTTGCTGTGACAGCAGCAACTGAAAGTCAATATGCATTACGTACATCACAAAAGGTTAACTTGTCTGTACAACAATTTATTGATTGTACACGAATATACGGGAATATGGGATGTCATGGTGGTTATACATTCACTCTGTTTATTTATTTACAAAATTTTGGATTAGAAACAGAAGAGAGTTATCCATTTACTGCTGAGGTAAGATTTTAAGCTTGTTTTGACCTTTTTATTTATCTGATTAAAAATGCCCATTAAATTTTTCAAAAGAATGGACACGGAACAAAGAGTACTCTTTTCGATAAATTCATCATCAGGCTCTACAGTTATATATACATTATATTGAATGAATGAATTAGTCTTATGAACGACATTAATGTTTAAATAACATCAAATCAATAATATTGATAGATTACAGCTGAACAGCATCAACATAAAATAAGCTGAATGTCAGAAGAATTAGGAAAGATAATAGTACAAATTCATGAATTTATAGTCTCTACTGAAGGCCAGGGCAGTAGTAGGGGCTGGACTTGTTTCTTTTGGACACAGAGCACTGGTTGTTTGAGGCGAATTGCAATAGCCTCTGCTGTTTGGAGCATGCGGTGCTTCGATGATTTTGGTAATTTGTTAGGCACCCGGTATATTATAGAGAAGGATTCTTCTACGCTGGCTTTGTGACCGGTTTGCACCAGATGGTCTAATATCGAGCTGTTAATAGTTTTAACTACACCTTTACTTAGCCATAGTGGGATATGTTCTCGAGCACTTGTGGAGCGAGTTATATTGGCCGTTGCTCTAGGAACTTGATTTTTCGTGCTCACTCGAGAACATATCCCACTATGGCTAAGTAAAGGTGTAGTTAAAACTATTAACAGCTCAATATTAGACCATCTGGTGCAAACCGGTCACAAAGCCAGCGTAGAAGAATCCTTCTCTATAATATACCGGGTGCCTAACAAATTACCAAAATCATCGAAGCACCGCATGCTCCAAACAGCAAAGGCTATTGCAATTCGCCTCAAACGACCAGTGCTCTGTGTCCGAAAGGAACAAGTCCAGCCCCTACTACTGCCCTGGCCCTCAGTAGAGACTGTAAATTCATGAATTTGTACCATTATCTTTCCTAATTCTTCTGACATTCAGCTTATTTTATGTTGATGCTGTTCAGCTGTAATCTATCAATAGTATTGATTTGATGTTATTTAAACATTAATGTCGTTCATAAGACTAATTCACTCATTCACTATAATGTGATGATGAATTTATCGAAAAGAGTACTCTTTGTTCCGTGTCCATTCTTTTTATTTATATTGAATTATTGATTGTAGCGGTGTATGATGCACTGACAGAACTTCGAATCAAGAAGGGAAATAATTAAGGCCATGGTGGTAAAAGGGATCAGATAAACCACTTCTGTATTATTCTCAGCATTCAGAGTTTTCCTTGTGTATTGAGCAAAAGCTTCTGTTGTGAACAGGAGATGAAGTCAGAAACCCTTCCAGTAACTTGGCTTTAAGTGTTGGTTTGTAGGGATTTACTTGATTGGTTACAGGATTTCATCATGAGCTGACATTAGTTAGAGAACCAATGGAAAACCTGCAGGGAGTACTGGACAGCTGTTTCGTCCTAGTTTGGGACTCTTCAGCAGTACGCACCCACAGCGATGGTTCGAACCCAGGACCTTCTGGTTACAAGGCCGGTGACCTCGTAGACCATTGAGCCACTGGGACCCGATCCAATGGCCAGTGCATGAATTCTAACTTCAGCCAATTCACGACATAGCGCGACCCCTAGCCAATGTCTTCGGCGAGTATTTGTCCTCACATCCGACCTGCTGCACCCTACTGGTCACGACTTCTCACTAGAACTTTGCTTTACCTTATATATATATCACTTTGAAAAATCATTTCTACTGGTTTGGAATGATATGTGTTAGAAGATGTTCAAGAATTGGACTGTTGGTCTGTCTGATTCCTCCTTTCAACAACCAATCATACTGAGAGATGTACTTTTGTGCGTCTAGGCAGTATTCTATTGTTACGACCTATATACTTAAATTTCACAGGAGCAAGTGAATTGATTTATTGATAACAACGTCAAAGAGAATGTCCCACTGTTGGCAATATCCAACAGTAGACTTTTTGTCTACTATATTTTCGATGTTTCTCAATGAACTTCTGTGGGTAACCGTTATTACGCAGGCACTTTTCCACAATGGATAACTCTTCCCTGACTTTTTATTCTGAATAAAGCTTTCTTACACGATCAGACACTGCTCTCACCAATCCCTTTTTATAATTTATAGGGCAGAAGCTTTTGAAATCAAGGATAAATCGTCCTCCAGGTCTGTTTTCTTGTTTGATATAATCGGGGAAACCAGAAGTTGGGTCTAAGCAGAATCTGAATTAGCGGCCTTTGGATTAATAATCTGACAGTCTGCCAGATGAAATATAAGATCCAACTCCTAGCCAGATCATGATTTCCTTGTAACTTTTTAGGAATTGTGCATAAAAATATATACATATATATTTTATCTTATTTAGGATGAAGACTGTATGGCAAATAGTTCAGATGTTGTCGTCCAGTCGATTGGATTTAAACTACATCGTCATGGTTATGAAACTATCTTGAAATGGGCATTATACAATGAAGGTCCATATGTTATTTCAATGAATATTGATCAGAAATTTTTATTCTATAAGTAAGTGTAGTGAAGTGATGAACAAAGTTTTACGAAAGTTTTTAACTTTATTTTTTTAACAATATTCCTGGTGAAAAGCATCTTTTAGAAAGAAATATTCCCCTTAGACAAGTTTTCTTCATTCTTGACTTAGTAACTGAGTGAATGATGCTTTGAAATTTGAAATGGTAGACTCTAGGTTCGAGTCTCAGTTGAGAAAAGCATCAGACTGAAATGTTGGTATATTTGGTTGATGAGTCTTTGTTGGGACGAAAGGCGTTCTTGATTTGTAACAGCAACAACAACAACAACGACACTACCCTAGTCAAAATCGTATTATTGAAGCTACAGATTCAATGCTGGATAAATTTATTCGGATACATTATAATTAACTGGATGACATTTCCAGCACAATTTATTGCTCATAATCATATCATTGTACTCACATGGTTTCCTTGTTTACTTTATGTATTTTGCTTCTCCTCCCCCCTCCTTGTTGTTTATCGCAATTTTCAGATTTTAGGCTAACTAATTTCTATGTAATGAAACGGCAGCTAGAGGAAATCCAAATAGAAAAGAATGAAAAAATGATCAGTTCTGAGGTGACCAGTTTGTACACTTATACCTCAATTAATACAGCTTTAGAAGCAGTTTGGAATGAACTGAACATTGATCCTGAACTCAGAAATAGGAAAAAACTCTCAGCTAATGTCAAACCTCCACTGTATTCAAATTCTAAAATAGAATATACTAAGAAACAGATTGGATGACAATGGGATCACCACTATCCCCAGTAGTGTTAGATATATTCATGGATAGGTGAGAACATAAAGCCCTAAGAACGTGTTATCCCCCTCCTAGGCTGCAGTCAAAAAACATGGATGTTACATAAACTGAGTTGAAATCTGAACATATCTCTTAGTTCCTCACACATATGAATTCATAGTAGGTGGAACCCAACTCACTTTTGAGTTAGAAAATGAAAGTGAATTAGCTATGCTAGACTGTAAATTAGAACGAAAACAAGATGATGGTATTGGGTGGTTGGAGGCAATTGGCAGGAAGCCTTAGCTAATCCTAGGTTTCGTGCTAGTTGGCACTCATCAGCAAGGCGTATCTGCAATCCTGAAGGAACAGCTCATGTCCCTTCTGAGATTCGAACCCCCGTCACCCAGTGCGGCAGTCGGAGACGTTACCACCGAACTATTGAGGCTCGCAATTGACCTTCTGTGGGACTGTATTGGATATTTTTGATTGCAGCCTAGTCAGTAACTTGTGTAACGTGTGTGTGTGTGTGGTCCTGTCCTTGCTGCAGACTGAATTCTATCACTCAAGTTTCCAATGTAGGACATGAGTTTCTTCTAGGCTGTAGATACGCCCTGATGATAAGTGCCAACTAGCACGAAACCTAGGTTTAGCCAAAGCTTCCTGTCGATTGCCTCCAACATTCTAATGCCAAAAATTCACAGTGCACCATGATTGCAAGACACCTAGCTTGTTGGTGGCTACATTGCAAACTTGACTGATAAAGTTCACTCTACAGAAAAGAGAGGACTAGACACATTACACTGTGGTGAGAGCTGGCTGCTAGCCAAATTGATAGACATTAATTTACGTCAAGGTTTATGTCCCAAATATTGGTCGTGAGAAAAATAGGAACAAAGACTTTGCGTAGGCGGATACAGTTAGCATATATAGATGATCTGACATTCAAGAAACAGACACAAAGAGATGAAATGTTAACTTTCTGTGAGAAACAACCAATCAGAAGACTGTGTTTCTCTGCTAACAATAATCTATAATATGTACATGAAAATCTATAAATGTGTGTTGATTTCTTTAATAAATGATCTGTTGCCTGGCCGTTGTCTTCTGTTGTTAAAACACTAGTTAGTAACTAGTGTCCAATAAAGGTGGAATCAAATTCACAATCCATGCATTACACGTTCTGGTTACCGAAACACTCTTAAACTTTGATTCATTCCACCATAATCGGTAAGTAGTAGGTTCCAATGGAGAGATGGCCTGGTGTACGATGCCTGCCACTCAGCAGTCTCCTCAGTGTCTCCTATCCATCTTCATTTCCTTCGCCATCTTTGTTGACCAATAGATTCTTGGTTGGCTCGTTCCTAGAGTTGTTTGTTGCTAATCATTAGCATTAAGAATCATACTCATGACACTGACTAATCTTCAATGTCTAATCAGTGTTGACCCTTAAAACCTTTAGTAGTCAGCCAGCTTCTAGAAGGACCGCCAATAGTACTCAGTGTAAACTCAGCTCTATAGAATCCCGTCAAATAGTAAATACGCAGAAAGATGAACCCACGTAACAAGCTGTCAATCATTTGTTATTGAAATAAATAACGTCATTTAGAACAGTTGATGCAGGTAACCTACCATAACAGTTGCATTACACGATCAACATTCATTATTATTATATTATAGTTTCCTTTAATTCCTAGAGGAACATAGGGCTTCAGCAAAACGTCTCCATTGCGTTCGGTTCTCTGCTACAGTCTTCACCTGGCTCCATGTCTGCCCACACGCTTTCATCTCCTCCTCACATCACCTCCTCCAAGTCACCTCACCCTCGCACTGACGACCAACTCGCCGCTTCCCTTTCGGGTTCCACTCAAGCGATGGCTTGTCTAGTGATGTCACTTGATGGATTGTTTCCTCAGAGTATGGCCAGCCAATCCATCTCCCTCCATTTCTTCCTGCCTGTTTGTTTCACAATCGGTTCCTGCTGAGTTGGTTCGCTCATTGCCAGAGATCCCTGTTGCTGATCAACTCTGGCCGGCTGGCCATTTGACCTTGAGCGAAGTATTGAGTGAAGACAAATGTTAATGAAGGTCTGTAGTTTGTTTGAGATGCTCTTTATGACGTGCAGTGCAAGTCTCTGATCCGTATAGTGAGTAGCACTGACTTCACATTGGAGTTGAAAATCCGGATCTTTTGATCTTTTTGATGCTGAGTGCTGTTGATCTATCTCCACACAGACTAGAGAGTAGTGAAAGCTTGTCTTGCTTTTCCGATTCTTGCTTTGATATCCTCGTCAGTTCCGTCGGCCTGTAGTTGAGACGATGCTTCCCAGGTAGGTAGGTAGGTGGGTAAAAGAGGTTGTTTCTTTCAGGTTCCTTCCATTTATGCTGGCTGATTGTTGTCTGTTGTTTTTGTTGGTGGTGGTGTTGGCCAGGAATCTTCATCACCTCTGTTTTCTCTATGTTCACCTGAAGGAAGTCCTATCTTCTCTGGATGTTTCTCCTGCCGACTTGTTGCTTTTCGCTTGCATATCTTCCAGTTTGTGTGAAATCAGACATATGTCATCATCGGCGAAGTCCAGATCCTCCAAGTTTTTTGTGTGAGTCCATTTTATGCCCGTTTCCTCATTGCCTGCCACTGTCTGTCGCATTATCCAGTCTACTGCAATCAGGAAAATCATTGGCGATAGTAGGCAGCCGATCAACATTTAGAGACATACTAAGAACTTAAAAAAACTTTTTTCTGTCATTCAGTGATGAAGTTGTGCAAATAATCCAACTTTCCAACGTAGTGGGTCATGACTTAAGTATTCAATGAGTTGATGACCAAATCATATACAGGGAACATCAACTTCTTCAGTGTCTTGAACATATCTTTCCAATGAGTACCTAGAAGGTATAAATAATGTGTTGGGAGCATCTTGCTCATTGGCTTCCCCTTTTTAATTGTTATGCTGCCATGACATAGTGTTCTACTACTTAGCATCAGTTACTGAACCTGCCATATTTTAGATATAATTGAAGAGGTATGTAGCTCACGCAGATGATTTTGGTGTGTAGTTGTGTTCACTGAACTGGGTCGTTTAGCTGAAAAACTTTCATTGTATACTTCAAGTGAACCACACCGAAACCTGTATTTTCCCTACCGAGAAATTTGCTTTAACTCAGGTCCGAGTGACTGAATGATCTACTAGTTTGCCTTGTAAATGGAAGGTCCTGAGTTCTACCCTAAGGTGGGTACGTACTGTTGATGAGCTCCAAACCAGGACGAAGCAGTTTTCCGGTTCAATGGTTCTCCATGATCGAGCTTGAAATAAATCTCGATAGAGAAAAAAAGAGTAGATTTGCAGTATGAAATGATATCATTCTATTTCACAGGTTCTCATCAGTTGCAGACTACCTGAAATTACATTGGTTATATAGATGATAATAATATACTTTAATGTTTAAGTGGTAGTAGAGAAGAAATACTATAAAACTGACGAATCCAAAATGTAACCATTACAATTTTTAGTTTAAGTTTACATCATCAATTTATACGCTTTCAAAGTAGAAAAGAGGGGGGAGTGGAGGGGTAAGACAGAAAACAGAAAAAAATAACAGACAATGTTAGCTTGTAGGTTCACATAGCAACTCAAAAACCAAAAGCGGTTACAGTATATAAGGTCGTGATTTGCTCAGTGAGTTGAGATCACCGGATTAGATGACTAATTAATGTAATCAAAATCAAAATTCAGTTACTAAGGGAGTAAGAGATTAATCACACTCTCTTTCTGTATGCATAAGTTTGGTTTGAATCGTTTGATTACGATCGCGTCGGCAAATCGTAGTAAATTTGCTGTCCTTTGTCTGTTTAATATTTTGAAGAACTTAGAAATCTCTACTAGAGGACCAATATCAACAATATGTCTGGTAATTGCACTCTGGGAATATTTGCTTCCTTTCAGGCACAAGTTTCTTGGAATATGTTCAGAAAACCGGGTTGAAGCCCTTCTTTCCATCCTTCCAATGTACTTGCTCCCGCAAGTGCACGTAACCGCTTTTGGTTTTTGAGTTGCTATGTGAACCTACAAGCTAACATTGTCTGTTAATTTTTTCTGTTTTCTGTCTTACCCCTCCACTCCCCACCCCTCTTTTCTACTTTGAAAGCGTATAAATTGATGATGAAAACTTAAACCAAAAATTGTAATGCTTACATCTTTTGGATGCGTCAGTTTTATAGTATTTCTTCTCTACTACCACTTAAACATTAAAGTATGTTATTATCATCTATATAACCATTGTGATTTCAGGTAGTCTGCAACTGATGAGAACCTGTGAAATAGAATATCATTTAATACTGCAAATCTGGTCTTTCTTTCTCTATAGAAATTTATCAAGGGAACCAAATGTATGAAATAAATTCTGTTTTGAATAAAACGGTTGTTTCCAAGCGTTGCTTGGGAGGGTTTTGATGGATTTTAAGTTAGGTGTAGGAATCACATCATTCGAAGAACTATGAAAAACCACTCACCTATGGTCCCGTCATGAATCAAATACTGTGCATTCATATTACGAGGCCTATGAATTGTAATTTCTGAAAATTTGCCAAATATAGTAAAACTGTCATTCAATGTCATCAGCAAGTATTTGTCCTCACACTCGACTAAGTAGAAATGAGTGGTGCTCACTAGTGACCGACTGAACGATAAAGTTGCCTAGAGTTGTAGTAGCTAGCTGAGAGTAGTGGCACTTACCAAGTTGGAGGTGTGGTAGATACCTGCCAGTGACATTGACCAGTGGTGGCACTATGTATCATGAATTAGTAGACGTTAGAATTCATGAGCTACTGGAATTCATCCTGGTGGCTAGGTGGTCAACGGGGTCGTATTATAACCCGAAGATTCTGAGTTCGATCTCATGTGGGGTCACAGGGGTTTACTGATGAAGAGTCACAAACTAGGACGAAACATCTGACTGATACTCTTTGGTCTTCAAGGTTCTCTGACTGATGTCAGTTCATAATCTAAGAACACAATATTCAGCGAAGAGACTCTTTTCGACGAATTTATTATCAAGCTGTAAAATCGTATATATATGGTTTTATTATAAAAATTATATCCGGTCAGGTAATTAGTTCAAACGTGTGAATACATGAAATAATAATAGTATGGAATGCAATTAAAATATTTGTGATTATAATCATGGTTTAATGTCAAGTGGCAAAATAATTAATGTCATGTATAGAATTATACATAAGGTGTATAGATTTTGGAAAAGGGTACATAATTATAAGATTAGTAGACGAATATAAAATGTTACATAACATGGTGTGAAATTTGATAAGATAGAATTCAATATTATAAAAATAAAAATATAAAATTTAATAATTTTGTGTTTAAAATGACAAGTGGGTCAAGTGGAAAAGATTCAGAGTGAGAATAGTAATAATAATAATGATAATAATAATAATCGTAGTAATAAGGGAAGAGTACATAGAATAGCTAACTTGAAAATAATTTAAAACAATTAGTTCCCTTTATGAATTTAAATAAAGCAATAAGAAGACGTAATTTGTCTGAATCGTGTAATGTATTTGCGCGTACAACACATTTCGAACAATCTGATCACACACACACGGACTTGTCATAGGAATATATATGAAATTAATAAAGAGGTAAGAGGTGAGAAAATAGACTTAGGTCAAGTTTAAAGGACATATTGAAGGTCAAAATAACAATGAAGACCAGTAAACCAAATAACAGAGGTAATAGTACATCTGCTATGGTGTCAAAACAAAATTTACCAAAGAAGGTTTAATGTGATGACAAATTGTTTTTGAACGCATAAAGGTGGCTTAAACTTTCTAATTGCTAGAGCTTCCACAAACTTCAGGATACGCCCCAAACACGTTGCATAGATAGATAGGTTTAAATGATCTGTTAACGTCAATTTTATGTCCTGTTTCTATAATATGTTTCGCAATAGAAGAGCTAGGTCTCCTGTTTTCACCATTATTGGATTCTGAAGATTCCATTTGTTTCTGGAGCCATTTAGGAATATGCTTTGAAGCCGTTACTTGCAGAGATCCATGAGTCCTCCCTATGTATGTGTGTCCACACGTACATTCAAATTCGTAAATACAGTGGGATGTGACGTCATTTTTCGCATGTTCGAAGGGCTTAGATAGATATATTGGCCTAACATTCTCTATTATTATGATATTGGCTGCATAAAAAGTCTTTTTGACAGCAGCGTTCAGTCTTTGTCTAGTTATCAAGCTGCTTTGATGCTCCATATAGGGAAGCTTGATGTATACGTCTTTCTTAGGGGCGAGTTGGAGAGTGGGTCTTGAAAATAATTATTGTTGACTTTTTAACAGTATTTTTGTTTGTTTATTTTTAATTTTTAGATCTGGTATTTACCAATCTGACACGTGTACACACTATAACTTAAATCAAAGTATGTTGCTAGTTGGCTATGGTTATGATAATGATGGTACTGATTATTGGATATTACAAAATAATTGGGGTAAAAAATGGGGTGAAGGAGGTTATGTTAAAGTATTGCGAAATAATTGGAATATGTGTGGAATTGCATCTCTGGCCTTCAGGCCAATATTGAGCAGCTTTTGAGGCGGTTCCTTTCTTTCCTTTTTGAGCATATGTTAAAAATTGAACTGATTGTATTTACACTACTTTAATACAGTATTAAGTAGTCAAATGACGAATGCCTTCATTTTTGTTCAAATATAACAATATGCAACCTTTCTTTAAATAAATAGTGGGGGCAGGGAAAAATTTGTGACAGTCACAGATGGGAGGAAAGAGGAGAAAAAGCTGTCCTTTGCTCCCAGCCGAAGTGGATAAATGGTCAGTGAGCACGGTCTCATAACGTGAAGGCCTATCTTCTCTGGATGCTTCTTCTGCCAACTTACTGCTTTTCACTTGCATATCTTCCAGTTTGTGTGAAATCAGACGTATGTCATCATCAACGAAGTCCAGATCCTCCAGGTTTTTTGTGTTAGTCCACTTTATGCCTGTTTCCTCATTGCCCGCTGTTTGTCACATTATCCAGTCTACTGCAATCAGGAAAATCATTGGTGATAGTAGGCAACCAGCTTGTCTTACTCCTGTCTTCACTTGTGGATCTGATGCATAATTGTCGGTGGCAACATCAGGCGTTTAGGTCACTTTTATGGGTCTGGCAAGCACTATTGGTTGGTGTCAGTGGTATCCTATTACTCATTTCAACTGACCAGTAGTATGCGTTATCATATATTTAGCTTGAAAAACTATTACTGAAGGAATAAATCATTTTGTACTAGTTTAGAATAGTGTTCATATAATCAAACTGTCTCCTGAACTAATAGACAATAAAAATTTCTACAGCTTATTGGTGTGAAATTATTGGGATTATAGAGCTACGTTTGAATTATAAACCTGAGAATCTAATACCTGTACTAAGTATCGATCCTAAATAATAATAATAATAATAATAATAATAATTTGCTTTATTCCAAAACAGTACTTGTGATACAGAATGGAATTCTCAGCATTTTTACTACAGTATTGCATCCAGTTAGTACATTATCAATAAATAGAATTCTACATAGATTAAGGAAATCTCAGTTCATTATGACAACAACACATTGGCATGTCAGTAGCAAAGCCAAATTTGAACAGTGTTTGAAGGTGTTAGAAAAGTAGGTGCTATCATATTTACTGGCGTAAGCGAGAGAAAGAAACAAAGCAGCACATAACGAAAAGAGAGAGAGAGAGAAAAGGAAAAGAAAGAAAGAAAATGTTGTACCTATTGATGATGTGGGTTGGAAAGACGAGGTCCAGTTGTTCTACTGACTATTTAATAAGTTGTAGGTGTCACGCCTAATGCTTTCTTTATCGCACAGAACACGAGCTAAGTAGGGTATGGTTGAGTTTTTGTACTTGCTGGTGCGAGCATATAGTTTTCTATATTGGCTTCTGGTTTCGCCTGATGAGATGCAAGGGGAGAGTTGTGAGTGAAGAGGGTATTGTGAGTTAGATAAAATGGCTAAATGGTACCACTTCTGACTGTGCCATTTAATGGCAAGAACTTCAATGGTACATCAATTCCTTTGATGTTTCATGTCCAGCCTTCTGACAGGCGGTAGTGTGGTGAGAGCTGTCTGCAAGCCAAAATTGTAAACAACAATTTACGTCAATGTTTATGACCCCCTAATCGGGGTCATGAGAAAAAACAAGAACAAAGCCTAACCTTGAGGAACTAACTCACCAACCAATCACAGCAGACTTAGCCTGGGCGGATACGATGTGCAGATATATCACCAGACTGTCTAAGAAACGGCAACAAAGAGATGACAGAATAACCTTCAGCAGGAAAACAACCAATCAGAAGACGTTGCTTCTCTCCTAACACTAACGAATAATAATGTACATAAAAATCTATAAAAATCTCTTGATTTTCTCAAAAATAAACGATCTGTTGATTGGCCCTTGTCTTCTGTCGTTACGGTAGTAAGCATGAAACACCGGTCCAGGACTCTGAAGGTCTAACATGAGTTTGACGCAGTACACCGTCATGAAACCAGAAGCACCATCAGGAAATAAAGTTGCTTTTAAGGTAACCAGTGACAAAAAGACGGTTATAGAGGGGAAAAACACACTTTTATTTAATGTGAGTTAACTTGCTAGACTGCAAATTCGCTAATAAATAATAAAAGGTGAAAAACGAAACCTATGATTATTCTCAGTAACATATCAAAGTACATCAAATAACAAAATGAAGTTACTTAATACAAGTATGGATACGTAATAAAAGAATAAACGGGGATTAAGAGAATTAACATATTTGAGTAATAATAACTTTATCCGAGAAGTAAACTGGTTATGACGGCTACTTCAGATATAAAGGTTAGAGGTACCTTGTTTAGATACATCAATGACTTGAAACGTTTAGGTCCTATCGTATTTGATGGTTGGTGACCAGCAGTGGAATCCAGGATACGCATTTCGTCCTGCTTCGGACTCGTCAACCTAGTGTACCTGTGATCCTCAGTGAGTGATAGCGTTATCAACCAGACTGAAATCCTGCACCTAGCCGTCGTTTCAAATGCCAAGGAATTACCCACTGGACCACTTGGGCCGCGAGGGCCAGCTCTTGTGCAACTGGCCTCAGTTCTTATTTTGTTTTAATCCATTTTTACTTTTCCTGTTGATTGATTGATTGATTTGGCTACTGGTATGGAAGTTTGAACGATGTCTGAGGATTAACACTGATGAAATGCAGGATGTACACTTCCTCCAGTTTGGATAATGCTTTGGCGTTTGAAACGAAGGGTACTGGATTCAACTCTCAGTAGGTGTATCCATTTGACGAATCCCAGATAGGATGAAGTACGCACTCTGGATTCTATTGCCAGTCATCATCATAAACCAAATAACATCATGCTGATCTGCAGAAACAGTTGAAGAGTTCGCAATTGGAGCCCAAATGTCAACAGAGACTGTATCTCCCGGTTGATTGATTATATTGGAGTGAAATGCTCAGATTAATCTGAGTAAACATTTTTTGATATCATGATCTCAGTTCCTTTGATAGGCTTGATTAGACCATTTGTAGGGTTTTCAAAGACTTATGAAATGAAGCTGAGTGCTATGAGTTCAGAAGGTGCATTGTTGTTGGACGAAATATGCCCCTCCTCTCTCCAGTTGTTAATTAGGCTCGGTAAAGTCAATGGGCTAAATTTCCTAGCAGTATGTAAACTGGAATAATATGTAGGATGACGCGCCTCAGAGTGTAAAGCATTTTTCCTCACAACCACCTGCTTGATGGATGCTGCCAGTCACGACTTTTCACTACAACCCTAGGTAACTTCATCCTGTTATCATCTACTAATTAGCAGTAATGTTGATTTGTAGGGATTTCATTTAATGGCTCTGGGTTTATGGGTGCATAATTCTGAGGAGTCTAGCGTTACCAGTACTCCCTGAATAGCGGTAGTTCCCTAAATGATGTCTCCCTGTCATCTAACTTAAAATCAATCAAACCCCTGCAAACCAATACTTGAAAATATGTGATTTCAACCGAAGTCAGCATTAAACTTTTAGTTTAAATCTTTAACTACTAACAAATAATAAGTAGCAAATGTATTTCAAATAAAAGTAAATCAAGCCTAAGAAATTCATCAGCCAGTTTCTAGATTACAAAATTACTCAATCACACTTGTCGTTCTACCAGTTTTTACCACCACGTCAAGTAAATGCATAAAATGGACACTGATTAAAGCAAGAACAGCATTTTGTGCAGAATGATATGGTACCATTATTTATTTAGTGGACTTCTCATTAGCTGTGTACAGCCTAAATAAACTATAAAGTTTATGAACAGAACAATTTTGGCATATTTGTAAATTTTACACGGTGTCAGTTAACTGAAGGCTCCAAACTTAATGAACAGTGCTTAGAAAATTACACTTATTTAGTTTTTACCCAAAAAGTACAAGTTTAAACAAAGTAAATGTATGCACACAATGGCAAAGGAGTTATTTGATGAATCATGGAAAATTCCCATCGTAACATATAGAAAATCAAAACAAATGATTCAGCGAAGAGACTCTTTTCAACGAATTTATCATCAAGCTGTACAATCGTATATATATATATATATATGGTTTTTAAGAAGTTATATCCGGTGAGGGAATTGAAACATAGGTGTGAATGCATGAAATAATAATAATAATATGAAATGCAATTAAAACTAAAATGTTTGTGATTATAATCGTAGTTAAATGTCAAGTGGCAAAGCAAATTAATGTCATATATAGAATAATTCATAGGATGGATAGAACTTGAAAAAGGGTGTGCAATTATAAGATTAGTAGACAAATCGAAAAAATAAAAACGTTACGTAATATTGTGTGAAATTTAATAGCATAGAATTTAATGTTGTAAAAAGGAATTGATTTAGAATGACAAGTGGAACAAGTGAAATAATACCGGGGACAGTTAAAAGTGAGAGTAGTAATAGTAACAATTGACGTAATAAGGAAGAGTATACAAATTGAATAGACAAAAATGAAAAATTGGTAGAGCTAAAATATGATTGGGGATTACCATACTTTAGCATAGAGGGATTAAGACCATGAAAGTTGGAGGGGTTGAACGAACTTTTTCTGTACACAGAGATCTGGCTTTTCTGTTTCGATAGCCAAAGCTTCAGCAATACAGATGAGTCGGGTATGTAGGGATTTGGGTAAATTACTCTTTGCCTTGTAGATGACTTTGAAGGCGGAGGCTATAGAGATAGGGTGATCATTATCGACCAGATGTTCAATGATCGCGCTTCTTATTGCTCCACTACCACCTTTTCGTAACCATGCAGAATAGTGTTCTTGCACCCTCTTGGACAAAACTCGTGTCGAACGACCGATATATATAGCTCCACACGAGCAGGTGAATTGATAAACACACATAGAGTTGGTCAACAGTGGGATCTTGTCCTTCAGGTTATTGAACAATAATGGTCGACTAGAAAAGGCTATTCTCAGGGATGCAGCAGGGAATGTTCTTTTCAGGGATTGTGATGTCCTCCGTTTCGTGATATCGGGAGCTAAGCCCCCTTTGAATTCCAAGCTCATGTAAAGTACCTTCTTGGGTACGGTTGATAACTCACGTTTTTTAGGATTTGAATGAATATTCTTATCTATAAAACGTGGTGGAAATCCATTTTCTATTAGGATTTTCCTCAAGAGGTAT